GGGGGGGATGAGCAGGGAGAGGATATTTTTTCCCTGCAGTTGCTGAGCTCGTAACCTGTTCCCTGGAACCATAAAGCACCGGGGAACATCCCGCCCTCATCCAGCTCCGTTTATCTCCAGCGCGGGGAGCACGTGAGGGATTCTCGGGAAGGGCCCCGGGGGGAGCTTTTCCCTGGAGTTCACAGTCCATCGGAGCGCTGATAAGCGTTTCAAAGGTGACGGCCCGAAACCTGCGGGGAGAGGAGGGGGGGGAACAGGCTCTCTTTGTGAGGCTCCTGCTGCTCCCGGGATTCCTGGGCTCCCAGCCTTCAATGGAACCTTTCATTCCCCAAACGCTCCAGGAAGCTCCTCAACCTTTGTCCTGACGGAGCTGCGTCCCTGCCCCGGCCAAAATCTGGCCACGAGTGGCGGGGACTTCAAGCCCTGGGGATTTTTGGGTGGTTGGGTCGGATCCGGGGTTGTCAGCGTGACCCTGCTGGAGATTTTAACCTGGAAAAGAGATTGGAGAGAGAGAGATGGGAATTAGATCCATGAAAACCACTGGGAAATTGTGATTGGGTCCTTTTGCTAATAGGGATTGGGAGCACAGCACTGGGAATTTGGAGGGAGAGAGATAGAAAATAGATCCATGAAAACCACTGGGAAACAGTGATTGGATACTTTTCCTGACAGTATTTCCTTAATGGGAATTTGGAGGGAGAGAGATGGGAAGTAGATCCATGAAAAACACCAGGAAATGGTGATTGGGTCCTTTTCCTAATAGGGATCAGGAGCACAGCACTGGGAATATGGAGGGAGAGAGGTGGGAATTAGATCCATGAAAACCACTGGGAAATGGTGATTGGGTCCTTTTACTAATAGGGATTAGGAGCACAGCACTGGGAATGTGGACGGAGAGAGAGAGATGGGAATAAGATCCATGAAAACCACCGGGAAATGGTGATTGTGTCCTTTTCCTTACATGGATTGGGAGCACAGCAGGGGGAATTTGGAGGGAGAGAGATGGGAAGTAAATCCATGCAAACCACTGGGAAATGGTGATTGGGTCCTTTTACTAATAGGGATTAGGAGCAGAACACTGGGAATTTGGAGAGAGATAAATGGGAAGCAGATCCATGAAAAGCACTGGGAAATGGTGATTTGGTGCTTTTCCTTACAGGAACTGGGAGCACAGCACCAGGAATTTGGAGGGAGATAAATGGGAAGTAGATCCATTAAAAACACTGGGAAATGGTGATTTGATGCTTTTCCTTACAGGGACTGGGAGCACAGCACTGGGAATTTGGAGGGAGAGAGATAGATGGGAAGTAGATCCATGAAAAGCACTGGGAAATGGTGATTGGGTCCTTTTACTAATAGGGATCAGGAGCACAGCATTGGGAATTTGGAGGGAGAGAGATGGGAAGTAGATCCATGAAAACCACCAGAAAATGGTAATTTGGTGCTTTTCCTAATGGGAACTGGGAGCATAGCACTGGGAATGTGGAGAGAGAGAGATGGGAAGTAGATCCATGAAAACCACCGAGAAATGGTGGCAATTTCGGGGTAAAAGAAAAGAAAAAAAGAATGAAAAGTGATTTTCCAGGAAGACAAGTGGAAAACTCCCCCTCCACCCCCCGACCAAGTTCATTCCTGTCACAAGTCTGGCCATGCTCCAGGTCCTCCAGGCCTCCTGTCCATCTGCACATGGACATTCCCTCTGTCTTGGCCCCTGGGTGACACCTCACTGGAAATTCCAGGCTCAGAGGGGTTGGATATCCTGGGAATATTAAAAGCTGCGGGCTCAGGGCTCGTCCCTTCCTTCCCTCTGCCTGGGTTTGGGCAGAACTTGTCTGAACCCCAACCAGGACAGGTAATCCCAGCACTAAGTCTGTCCCACAAACCTGGAGAAGGTCATTCCATGACTCCTGGGATTCGTGGAGACTGTTTGTGCTGCTCCCCAATCCTGGAGCATCTCCCTGGTTATCCCAACCCTGACTTCTGCTCTGGAGGTGGGAGAAAAGCCCCTGATTGAGGGCAAAGCTTTGTCTCTGGACTGGGAGGTTGGAGTGGCTGCAAATCTGCTGCTCCTCAGGGCTGCTAAAAAAGGGACATGTTGGTGTTCAACTCATGTGGCTTTTGTTTCCAGCTCTCAGTTTTCCTCAGGCCTTTCTTCCCTGAACAAAGGAAAGGCTTGGTTGGTTTTTCAGTCCTTTATCAGAGGGGATGGCTCGAAAAATGACATTTCTGATGGAAAATCCCAGCCTCCATCAGGTGAAAAAAGCCCCAACCCTTTATTTTCAGTGTCAATCAGTGCAGGCACAATGAAGGACCCAATTATTTGAAGCAATCCATGATTAGGGGCTATTTTTTCCCCCGCAGTCCTGTAACATAAACTCTGAAAGAAATCATCACAGGGCTGCAATAATAAAATACCCCCCCCCCCCCCCAGCACTTGCAGACTGGAAGGAACAGGGTAAAATTCAAGCTGCCCTTGCAGAAGTGGAAATAAATCCCTTCCCATTGGGATATTTTAGCACTTCAGGTCACTATTTCATTGGAGATGGAAATAAGGAACTCAAACGTGGAAGGAGCATCACCAGCTGCTCGGGAGGGATTTAAAGCACAATTTACACCCTGAAATTGGGGTAACTCTGGATTTTCTTCCCTTTGTCTGGGTGAGTTGGTTTGGGTTTGTCCTGTTTTGCTTTGTTCTGCTGTTGGAGTTGTCCTGGGGATCCCTAAGGTCTTGTTTTCCCTTGGATGTGGGAATGAGGGCAGAGCTGGGACTGGGAGTGTGGTGCCAGGGCAGCAACCTGGGAGAGTGGGAGGTGTCCCTGCCCAGGGCAGGAATTCGAAATGAGATGATCTTTAAGGTCCCTTCTAATCCCTTCTGGCATTCTGGGATTCACAGGAGCCAAGTGGAGTGTGTTGAGCACACGACCAGAATTTGGTCGTCACAACTTAAAATTCCCTGGAAAGATGGGTTCTGGTCTCTGGGGAACTAAACCCGGAGTGTTATTGATAGTCACAATACAAACATTGATATCTTTATTTTCACTTTGAGTCTCTCTCAGGCTTTTGCTTGAGCTCAGCACGCTCAAAAGTCTGGATCCAGCTGTGGGAAGGGACTGGGACCCTCCAGGAGCTCTTTATTCCTTTAATATGGGAAGAAATGAGTCTTCTGGTAAGGAAAAACCTGCTGGGGATCTGTGGAGCTGGGGGGGTTCAGCTGGTGAGAATACAGGAGGAAACCCAGAGCAGAACTCAGAACTGTTTCTGACCCAAGGGGTCCTGCAAGGGTGTTTGCTCATCATGGAATCATGGAATGGAATTCCTGAGGCTGGAAAAGCCCTTCCAGCCCATGGAGTCCCCCCTGTGCCCGATGCCCCCCTTGTCCCCCAGCCCAGAGCACTGAGTGCCACGGCCAGGCCTTCCTGGGACACCTCCAGGGCTGGGCACTCCAAACCTCCCTGGGCAGCCCCTGCCAAGGCCTGACCACCCTTTCCAGGGAAAAATTCCAGCTGATGTCCAACCTGACCCTCCCCTGGCACAGCCTGAGGCCGTTCCCTCTCCTCCTGTCCCTTGTTCCCTGGGAGCAGAGCCTGATCCCCCCTTGCTGCCACCTCCCTTCGGGCGGCTGGAAAGAGCAAAAGGGTCTTTGCTGAGCTTCATTTTCTTCAGGTTAAACATTCCCTGCTCCTCATAGGACTTAACTTCAAACCACTGAATCCCTCTGGTGCTGGAATGCTGGTCCTTCAGTGGGATGGCAGCTGTTTGTAGAACAGCCTGGCTGGTCCGAGGCAGGGAAGCAGCCGGAGCTGCGTCCCATTATTACACAGAAATGAAGGCACAGACAAATTTTTGGATCCCACTGGCAGCTCTGTCCCATTGTCTGAGCTCAGGCCATTCAGAGTGACAGAGGGAGAAAGGCAAGAAATGCTCTGCATCATTAGAGGAGGTCCCTGCCAAAAAAAATTCGGGATCACGGCGGCAAGAGAGGGCTGGGAGTGACATCTTCCATGCGGCACCGGCAGCACGAACTGAGAGGGGGAGGTTTCATCGGCTCCCGTGGGTGCCAGCCTGGGTGTCCAGATGAAAAGCTGACCTTTCTAAACCGAAATGTTTCCCCTCCAGGAGAGTGGAAATATTTTTGACCCCGTTCCAGCCCGAGAGCAAAACAAATGGCAAAGCACCAAGAGGCTCCTTGTGCAAGAGCGGCGTCCCTGCCCCGCGTGCTGCCGCGTTTATGGCTTTGTTTGTTCAGCACAGATGATGTTTTGCAGCGGAAAGTTTGCCATGGAGAGGGTTTTGGGGTGGGTTTGAAGGCTGGGATAAGGCTGGACACGGCTGGGATTTCTCCTCTTCCCCTCCGAGTGAGATAAATGGATCTGCGTCCAGATTCCATCATTGGATTCCAGACTTGCCCCTTGAAGGTGCTTTTTTAGGCTCTTTCAGGAGCTCATCTTTGGGTGGGAATGAAAGGCAGTGTTGTCCTCTTTCTCCAAAGACTCTAGAGGGAGCCTAAAGGATTGATTTAAGCTGGACAACTCCAGGGCTGAACTGGGGGAAAACGAATCCCATTTTCACTGCCCAGCCCCTGCTGCTGCTCAGGCTCCGGTCAAAGACACTACACCAAGTCCCAGAGTTTCTAGGAAGGTAATAAAGGAAGGAATTTATGATTTCAGAGGACTGTAAACATCCAGACCCTTAATCCCAGCAGATAGCCTTGACCAAACCAGAAGGGCTACGTGGCCAGAAGAGCCTTGACACAGAAAGTCGATCCAGCATTTCTGTGAGGTGTCAGCAAGTTTTAACTGAGCTTGGCCTGGAGATGTTCAACTGGTTGGAACTAATCCATGTCCAGAAGAGGTGAATCAGTGTCTAGCAATTCAATAACCAGTTGCTCAAGTGCTGGTTGCTAAAAAATCTGCATTTCGTTGCCTGGGGAGGGTAAAGTCCGGTTTAACACACCAAGGAATCCAAGGAATCAGCCCCCAAACTCCTCAGAGCTGCTGAGCACAGGAACTGGGGCTCTCAAGCAGAACATCCCAGGCTGGACCATAAACCTTCCTGGTGTGAGGTGAGACACCAGGAGGGGGTGAAGGTGGCCAGGGAAAGGTGCTGGGGGAGCTAAAGGGCAGTTTGGGCCCTGGGTGACAAAATTGGCCCTGAGGAGGTTCAAGCTCAGTGGAAAAACTCAAAGGTCTCTGCCCATCCAAGGGCATCAGGTCCCAAATTAAATCTACTGGGAATAGTGAGAGCAGGAGCTCAGACTGCTGCCTGAATTCCCATTTATTCCTTGTACATTATGGAACAAATTTTCCTGAAAAAGGGGGAATTTATATTAAAGAGAGAAGAAAATCTCTGTTGGGTTGGTTACAGTCACAGACTTGCCACCAATTTACTGATGAGCTTAGAGGGTTGTTCACATCATTTCTCTTCCCAGGACACAAAACTGGATGAGAAATGAAACCCCTTGGTTAGGATTTGAATGAATTTAAACCTCAAAACCTAAGAACCCCTTTCCTGTGGGACAATTCCATCAGGTGGGATTGAACTTGAGTATTAAGACAGTTAAAATTCGAGAGGAGATTCAAGGTGAAATTAGAGAGAAGATTCAACCCTGAGAGTCAGAAAACCTTATTTTAAAAAAAAAGGAATAAAAATCCCAATATTCCCTAATATTGGTGTTGACCTTCCCAGCTAAACTGTGGGAATGATCCAACCCTCTTGCAGCTGAGGGTACCATGATGCATTTTTCTCTCTCATCCAAGGAGGGGTTTTGGTGCTGGAGCCCCTGGATGGGCTGTGGTTCCTCCAGATCCAACAGGACACCTGAGAGGAACATCCCTGCTCACATCCCAGAATTGACTCATCATTCCCAGAGGAAATGCAGTGGCAGGGGTGAGTAAGGCCTGAGTGTTGTCACTCTTAACCTGTTCTTTAAATAAATAAACAAACAAACTCATCTCCTGTGGCACTTTCAGGAATCCTGGTGACTTTTAATTCCCACTTTGTGATTAAGGCTCTGGCTCGAATCCAGAAATTGCTCCAAATTAATCCCGGGCTCTCATGTTTGAACTGGTTCTCTGGGCACCAAAATATTTGTGCCAACTCTTCCTCTCCCCTGGCCTGAAGAAGGTGCAGCTCCAACAGGTTTGGGGGATGGATTTGCCAGGTCCAGCCTTGATTTTAGATCTCGAGTTCGCCCGGAGAGAAATAATGAGAACATGACATTGGGAGGGTCCTGAGGAAAATTAAAGGGAAAAGACTTCCCTGACAAGGAGATTGTTATAGGAGGGAAGGGGAAAGGGAAAGGGAAAGGAGAAAGCAGGGGGAGGAGGAGGAGGAGGAGGAGGAGGAGGAGGAGAATGTGGAGGAGAATTAGGAGGAGAATGAGAAGGAGAAGGAGAAGGAGAAGGAGAAGAAGGAGAAGGAAAAGGAAAAGGAAAAGGAAAAGGAAAAGGAAAAGGAAAAGGA